AAATTCGAAAGTCAACGTAATAAGTTTGGTTTTTTAATCCAATACTATTTTTGATAACATGAAGGGGAGGGAGAAATTCATTGATTTACTCAACTGAAATATTTATCATATATGCCCGATTGTTTTCTATGGCCGGATAGGTAGTAAATATAATTCCTCCTTATTCAATGTTGAAGGGGCTGAAAAAGCCGCACCTTTAGTTATCTTTCTCCCTTATTTTCTCCTTACCAAACAAGGGAAATTACTATTACTCTACTTCTTTTTTCTTTCTCTCCACCTGTCCTCATTCTTTTCTCCCCAGCCAGAACGAACTGACTTTATTTATGTTTTTGAAGGACGCTCCGTCAAATGTTTGAATCATATAGCAATTTAGACAAGGAACTTGCATGGCATTTGTTTCGCCAAATTGTAGAAGGCTTGGCACATATCCATGGACAAGGCATTATTCATCGTGACTTGACACCTAATAATATATTTTTTGACGCTCGCAACGACATTAAAATCGGGGATTTTGGTCTAGGTAAGAATTTGCTTCATATTTTTAACTTGTAAAAGTGTTTCTCTTTTGTCTTTACTGAGGTATTTATCTTTTGCTTTCATGTTATATACGGCAATGGTTGAAGCATCTATCCTCTTTAATCAAGAAGCAAAAGGAATTTCCTAAAGCAGTGTATTACAGAACTAGAAATATGATACAAGGATTAAGCGAATATTTTTAATCACTGAGCAACCCGATAATGTATTATCACTTTTCATTGGCACCAGATAATACACTTACAATCATGTCTTATGTAAGATTGACTTTGAAATAAAATTTTTCTCTGGGGAAACTCTTACTGTCCGAGCTGAAGAAGCCAAAAGGACTGAGAGAAATTTGTGTGTAAACATGTGAGTAAAGTGAAGAGTGTCCAGGTTTTGTTTTTGTTCTTTATTCTCAAATCCCAAGGGGAAAGCCTGAAATTTTCTAGAATATAAGGCATTGGGAGCTTTGCACTTTATACATTTTCACATAAGATTATAATTGGATGTAAAGCTACTTTTCGGTCACTGGGAGATACAACTAACTTTTCTCCTAATTCAAAAATCCATGTTTGAACATGGAATATATTTTTCCTACAGTGTCCTGGTTATCTTTTGCCATGTATAGAGGGTGTTTGAACATGGATGTAAAGCTACTTTTCAATCACTGGGAGATACAACTAACTTTTCTCCTAATTCGAAAATCCATGTTTGAACATAGAATATATTTTTCCAACAGTGTCCTGGTTATTTTTTGCCATGTATAGCGGGTGTCTTTTATGTTCAGTATGTAAGATAAATTAACGATGTCTCTATTGTTTTAATTTATATTCTGGATTATTTTTTGAACGGGCTGCATGAATGCGGGATGCTTTCCTCTGTTTTGCCTGGTTGAAGGAACCTGAATTTAAACATATGGCGTATTTATAATTGAAAATTTCAGCCAAATTCTTGAAACTAGAGCAGCTGGACCAGGATGTAGATGCTGCCGAGATGATAGGAGTTTCTGTTGATGGCACTGGCCAAGTTGGTACATATTTCTATACTGCACCTGAAATAGAACAAAGGTGGCCCAAGATCAATGAGAAGGTAACATTTTGTTACTTTCAGTGTTTTGCTTGATCACAACAAAAAGTTCTTCTATGCTAGTTTGCTTCTGACTCCATAGTCCTCAGGCTGATATGTACAGCTTAGGAGTTGTTTTCTTCGAGTTGTGGCATCCTTTTGACACTGCAATGGAGCGACATATTGTTCTTTCTGATTTAAAACAAAAAGGAGAGGTTCCTCCTGCTTGGGCTGCCGAATTTCCAGAGCAGGCATCCTTGTTAAGGCGCTTAATGACCCCAAGTCCGTCTGACCGTCCATCAGCCGTCGAACTTCTTCAAAATGACTTTCCTCCTCGAATGGAGTATGAGATGTTGGATAGTAAGTAGTTGAGATATCTAGTTATAACTGTTTTATTTCCACCCCCTATGACTTTTTGCTAAGTAAATAGAGTTCAGATCTGGAATCAGATAAAACAAAGGAACAGCGGAGTTATGCTATGCTATTGTTTAAGGAGATATCCCTTGGCTTGCTTTTTGTAAGTACACTCATATAAGGAGTTGCAGTAAAAGAAATGATTGGAGATTGTATGTAAAGTGGGAGTGAAATGACAAGTGTTTTGGAAGACAAGAAATTAATCTAATTAATGCAAACTTAGCTAAAGATAGGGCATAGTGAAAGAAAACGACCAATATAGGTGATACCTTCTAGTTGGGAATAGGTTTTAAACTTGTTAGAGAACTTCTAATGTCATCATTATTATTATTACTATTATATATATATATACTCAACTTCTTTTTCACTTTCACTTTTATTTTATTTTTTGTATGATAATGATACAAGTTGAGCTTAAAGAAAGAAGTGAGGATTCATACAACCGACCACAACTTGTTTGGGACTGACGCATAGTTGTTGTTTCTTAACAATCTAAGCACATTGAGCTAAAAAAAGGCGATTGAAAGTATTTTTAGACTACTGCTTAAATACCGTATGAGCATGAGAAGGGGATTACTAATTGATGTTCGTAATTGTATCAATCAATTCCTATTCAATTATTATCTTTCTCTACGTGTGTCCTGCTATACTATCTGTTTGAGATTTAGCCTGTAAAGCTATTAGGATAAGGCATGACCAGTTATATTTTTATTTATTTATTTTTAACCCAGTTACACTTTGTGGTCAGTTTTATATGTTTTTATTATGAAGTCCAGGTTTCCCGTATTTCCAGCTTTCACTTTTTTTTCCTTTTAAGTTGATCCAAAACTGTTTCTGTATAGACCACGGACTGGGTTAAAACTCTCCTTGGTTTAGTAGGTTGCTATCTTTGTTGAGTAAGTTTCTCTTTTCCTGCACTTGCAGATATTCTTAGGACAGTTCACATTTCAGATGACACTGGTGTTTATGATAAAATTGTAAATGCCATTTTCAATGAAGACACGTTAAACACAAAAGGCCATAACACGAATCTTGAAAGTTCGAAGGTGATTGGAAGGGATACCTCATGTATTCTGTTCACTGATCTACAGACTGAGAGACGCGATAATGTCGTCGAGATTTCCACAGAAGTATTCAGGCGACATTGTGCAAAGCATTTGGGGATCATACCCATGCGAATGCTTGGTGAATGTCCACAGGCGAATAGGTGTCAATTTCACTGGTTTTCCTACTCATTAACTTGATATAATCTTACCCTTCTCTATGTATTTAAATCTTAAGTTGTCATTTGCTTCTTTTTTTCTCAATTTATTTTTGCTCGTTCAGTCGAGAAAGAAGTGCTGTTAAGCTTTTGACTCATGGAGGAGACGTGGTTGAGCTTTGCCATGAACTTCGACTTCCTTTTGTGAAATGGATAATTGCCAATCGGGTACCTTATCAGCTCTCTGACTGATTTCATAATTTTTGGAACTGTATTCAATAGTTGTTGCTTCTCTTGCCTACGTTCACCTCTCTTAGAAATTGTAGAGGTATTTGTTTTTTACCTCGAAAGTCTTAATACTTTTGGAAGCAAAGTAGCCTTATAGACGATATCAACTAGTTGGGGTCAAGGTTTATTTGTTGTTAGTGCACTCACATTAGGTTCAATATTCCAGGAGCCTTCTTAATTTGATTAGAGACATGTATTGCAGAGTAGGGATAAATCTCCGATTTAGAGAATCCTTACTTGTATAGAACACATAATTTATCTTGAAAGACAAATTATTAAAAGGGCAGCCCAGTGCACTAAGCTCCCGCTATGTGCGGGAAGGGCCGGACCACAAGGGTCTATTATACGCATATAGCTGTTGTGAACTCTTAAACCGTATAGATATAAGTGGAATAGATATAGAGGAGTCATATATCTGACTCCAACTAGTTTGCATTGAGGCGTACTTTTTGTAGTTGTTGTGAACTCTTAAAACTCTGTTTCTTATATATTGACTTGTATATACTCTTGAATTATAATTACTTAGTTTGTAGTCACCTTTTTAGGGCTGTTCTGTAAATAATGGCAGTTTGAGTTCATCACTAAAATTTTATATTGCGGTTTTTGTTCTTTATTTATGTCACATGTTTTCCCCTGCTCTTGCTTTGAATTGCTTATCATCTGTCTTATTTTTGTGCTTCATGCCAGGTTAAGCATTAAATACATTTGTTTATGATTTGCTTTCTGATGTTTTGCTGTTTTAACTTGTCCAACAATTCTATTCAGTGCATAATCTTATGTGGCTAGTGGCTATGCACTTTTGAATCTTAACCCCCAACTCCTCTTCCTCCCTCCCCTCCCCACACACACACACACAAAAAAAAAAAGGAGGAAAAAAGAAAATTAAACCCAGATACTAAGACTCCTCATTCAACGCAAATAAGAATTCCTGGAAGGTCTATTGAGGCATAGTGATGAGAAATTGAAAAATGAATCTCAAAATACAAGAAAAAAGTTTAAAATTATGATGAATGGCAATCATCTTGTAAGTAAATAAAAGGAAAATATAAAAGTATTTAAATTAGATTGAATGAATCTTAATAGCAAAATATTAAGAAAAAGTATTGACAAACAAGAAGACAAAATGCAAAAAACTACAGCTCATAGTTATCAAAAGAAACAGGCTTCTAACGTAATTAACTAAAAGTTTTTACAGATCAAACACATTTTTTGGTTTTGAGCTCTTAACCATGCACCGCCGATGAAACCTATCTAGTTTCCTAGGAAGTCATTATGAGTCCTCTCACTAATATCTACATCCTGATAAAAGAAATTTTTCCCCATGTTATCTAATCCAATAAAGCTCCATCACACCCACTTTTACATTTTACCCTTATTTTCACGATTTTATAGCCAATAAATGTTATGGCATGATTAAAACCACTAGTCTTTCTTTCTTTCTTAAACTCCGTGTCCAGTCAAATACTTTCACATAAAATGGGAGGGAGGGGGTATTTAATTGTAAATATGTCTATTAGAATATGTGTGCGTGTTTTTTTAGTTAGATTTACTGACATATAATACGATAGAATTTTGTAATATGTATATTTCTAGCCCCTCTGTAGTATTCTTTTTTTTTTAAGAAGTGTCCATATTAATGAGTGTGCTGTACTTGACATCCATGTCAGTATCCATGTTGCATTATAGATTGCCCTGTCAGAAATGTATTCATTCTTAGAGGTTCTGGTATAGTTGACTGATGTGTTAAAAAGATAGCACATCTATATGGTTTTTAGACCTATCATTTGATTCATATTGAAAACTCTGCTTTGATTTATGACAAAAAGAAAAGAAAAGTGTAACTGCTGTGAAGCATCTACTTACATTTTTTAAACATTAATCCTTTTCAGAGATCATTCTTTAAACGCTATGAAATATCATACGTATACCGGCGAGCGATTGGCCATTCACCCCCAAACCGATATCTGCAGGTTTTAATTTTCTTCCACAGTTTCTTTTGACTGAATAGAGAAATGTTGGCTATTTTAGTTCATAATTTCATTTAATAGTTATTAACTGAACTGTAGGGGGACTTCGATATTATTGGAGGGGAAACAGCTCTAACTGAGTCAGAGATAATTAAGGTAAGACACTCGTATTTGCATCTGTGCTGTTAGCCTCAATTTTGTGAAACATGACCTGTTCCGCTCTACTCATTTCCAAAGCCTCAGAATATTGATTTTCCTGTTGGCAAAGAATCCCGAATTCCTAATCAGAGATGCAATGTAAAGAGATTTCCTACATTTTCATGGTTGATATTCCATTGTTGAGCTTGAGTCACTTGGTTTAATGTTTTGTAATCCAGATCCTTTAGTTTCCTGATCTTCCCTTGTCTCGCATTTCATTCTAGCTAGCTCTGTAATACAAGAACATCCTGCATCCTACTTATTTCCTTTTAATACAGGCCACGATGGACATTATTCTTCATTACTTCCATTCTGAATCATGTGATATTCATTTGAATCATGCGGATCTTTTGGACGCAATTTGGGCTTGGGCAGGAATCAGACCAGAACACAGACAAAAAGTTGCAGAGGTATGGAATCAAAGTGCCATGTCAAGATACCTAGCTTGTTGTGTCTTTGAACTCACTTGGGTGCTTGTGTTAATCTCTTTTTCCCATATTTGAAGCTTCTTTCCCTTTTGGGTTCCTTGCGTCCTCAATCTTCTGAAAGAAAGACGAAATGGGTGGTCATCAGGCGACAACTTCGACAGGTGATATATTTTGTCATAGACCACTGTTTTTTTATAAGATTCTGGAACTGTTGTTGCTTTATGCATTATTCTTTTGTGGGAAATGAGATACATGTGATTATGCCTGCAAGCTATTGGGGGTTTGTGCTATGTTCTTAGATGTCCTGGGCTGCATGCACGCTATGCTGCTGTATTCAACGAGGTTAAGTTGGTGATATACGCATGTATTAAAAAAAGGAGTCCAATTATGGTGCATACAAATTGTGTGTACCGAACTTGCTGCATAATATAACTAATTGAAGGTCTGACAAGGGACTTGGTGAATATATGTACAAGATCTGAAAATGTTGAAAGAGATGATGCTTCCACTTAGCGATGCTCTCCTAATTATTACCTATGATAACTATATGATCAAATAAACCACCAAATACATGTACATATTTGGAGCATAATGTCGATAGGATAGAGAGTGATTTCACTATCAGTCTTGAATAATTGTGTTAAACATTCCAAACTGTATATAAAGGTCTGCTTTTAACCATACGGTGTTCTATGTAATCAACAGACCAGCCTATTAGAATCCCCCTGATCAACAAATCTTGATTGTTGTTTCTTGTATACCTTATCCTCTAGAACCCTGTGAAGGAATGAATTATTGATATCCAATTGATAAAGATGTCAATCCTCACCTCTTGATCTAGCTTTTGGGGTTGAGTTAGGTCCATGGACCATTTCTTTAACAATAGCCATGGGCAAAAAGAAAGATGGAAGCAATCTTAGCCACGCGAGAGAACTTATCATAGGGCTCTTTGTATAGTTAAGGAATGAATTAATAATATTTTACCCATGCTATTTCTCACATGGTATCAGAGTGTTGGTGAGATAATTATCGTTTTGCATTATTCCAGCGACATCTGGGAAAAAAGAACACAGTCACTGTGCAATTTTCCGGTGACCTAAGTGGTTGTTCGCATCATCCTTCAGATCTAACAGTCGCATCATCCTTAAGTTGATCAATGTGACCATTATGGCCCAACCTTCACTATGTACACCATCGGCGGCAACTGACAGCCAGGACAAGAAAGTGCTTTACCAGTAGACTTAGGAGCTGAAATATCTGACAAGGATGACACAAAGGCATAATGGAATAATGATATATGATGATAACGTAGAATGGTATAAATTGGATGAGGATTATGAATAGAAAGAACCTTTCTGGCATACTAGAGGACCATGGAGGAGGCAGGTTTAAGCACGTAAAGGATCTAGTTCTGCATGTGAATCATTCAAACTTAATGCGGGGTGCTTGAAGTGATGATAGGCCAAGGATAGTGGAGTTGTGGGATAAGATATAGGAGTGTTAACAATAGAATTTCCAAAAGATGGGACAGGTAGAACCTCATAGATTCCTAGGTGTTTAGAAGGAAAAAATGTGAAATAAGGTTGAGTTTAATAGAAGGTGACATCAGCTGACATTAGGTATCCAGTGTGCTAAGGTAGGCAATGACAGTTGAGTCCCCTATGCGCAATACCCCTTCCAAGCTGAAATTCCTGCAGCAAGCGCTTCTCTGCTGGTTTCCCCTCTTGCGCGGTTGCGCTGGCCAAATTTCCAACATTGCGTGATTGTGCCTGGTGCAGCGTGATCGCGCCTGCACCAGATATCAGATTTTCAGGTTTGCTGATTTGGGGTTCTAACATGTACGAAATCACCCCAAGCCCCCGGGTCTCAACCCCAACCATCCCAACAAGTCCCATATAGTTATACGAACTTATTCAATGCTTCAAAACACAAATTAAATAATAAATGCACGAAATTAAGGGTCGGGTTGTTACAAACAAACATAAGTAATGTACCACCAGAAGAGTGAAGGGTGCAATAGGAGAAGAACAGAGAAATGGAGAAATGATATAAAAGAATAAGGGAGGCATAGAGAGAGATCATTTCATAATGTATTATTCATCAAGTAAAGTATTATTCAAGTAATTTCTTCCAAACAAAGTACACTGCTTTCCTATTCATAGGATTATTATATTATGAATTAAGACGGACTACTAAAACTATTAGAACTCTATCGCTAACTAAAAGGAAAGACTCTCTATGCCTCCCTTAAAAAAAAGGGAAAGACTTGATGAATCTCATGTGTAAGATAAGATTATCTATATTATTTTCTTGCTAATAACCCAAAGTTTTAAAAAAAGAAGATAAAATCTTATCTCTAAGATTAGATCATCTCTATTTTATTTCTGACTAATTGATATAATATTAAGCAATACCGATGTCCTCATTACCTAGCCTTTGAATCTTCAAAAACATGGTAGGGGCTGTAGACTCTATGTAGAGATTTCTATGGAATGTGAAGGTAAAACTACACAAAAGTGGTTTATCGCATCTTTGACTGACTGTGAATATTTATAACTTACCTAAATATTGGGTTTCTTGTACAGAATTTGTTTTGAAGTGCAAATGACACCCTTGAAACGCTTATGCTACTATAATACCTGATACCACATTCTTTTAAGAGAGCTTTTGAGGGGAAGAAAATTAATTTTGTATTGAGGGTTTATCTTTTGGCTTGGTAAATTTTGGTGCTCCCATGTGGTCCTTATTTGTGTAGATAATCGGTTGTCATTTGTAGAGATATATATTTTTCTGTAGGACCTCGATTTTTGTATACCTCTTCTTTATCGAGGTTTCCTCGCCACATCAACAAATTTAATATGCTAAAAAAATTCCCAAAACCAAAAGTTGGACGACCCTGCATCAGAAATAAGAGCCTTAGGAAGGAATAAGTATTGTTTGTACTTGTGTGTGCCATAGTCATTCCAAAAGAAATTTCCTTGAATTTAGCTATTTCAGTATGAGGTAGAAGCAATTTTAAGACCAGAAGTTGTTCTTCAGTTTGTCAGGCCCTTCTTTGATGTTTCATGAACTTTATTCTCTGTAGGTGAAAGAGCAAGTTCCTCAGGATTTTATACATAATGGCATTTTATTTGGATCTGTGATTGGAAAAATTGGTCTTCCATCTTTTTGTTTTCAGGAACTCAATCTTGCAGAAACTGCTGTGAATAGATTACAAACAGTGGGGTTGAGGTTCTGTGGAGTTGCAGACCACGCTCTTCCTCGATTAAGGGGAGCTCTTCCTCCTGGTACATTATTGTTTGTTTCCATATTTAGCCACTTCTATTAGTTGCATGAAGGACGACTTATTTTTGGGTTAATTAATGCAGATAAAACCACCCGCAAGGCACTTGAAGATTTGTCAGAACTTTTTAACTACCTACGAGTTTGGAGACTTGATCAACGTGTCTATATAGATGCCCTTATGCCACCAACTGAGAGTTACCACAGGAAGTTGTTTTTCCAGGTATGTGTCCCTTCTTTGTTTCTGGGATGTTTCTGTTGCCCAGTGCTCGTTTCTTTATGTTATAAAATTAAATGATTAAATCCCCATCCACACAACTAAAAATGAGGAAAACAAAGAAATGCTCTGAATAGCTAACCCGTGTCGATACGACACTAGTATGGGTGTGGGTATGGGATCCGTACAGGATCTGGTCAAACAATTTTGGGTACTTTGACCGCGACGGACGGAAAAATTCGAGATGAGATACAATTTGATTCTCGAAATCAGAACCAAAACTAGGGTAAGTTTGAAGAAAATAGCATACCTTATCTAGGAAATCAATCCTTTACTTATCTACAACTTGAAAATAAAAAAGAAATTCATACTTTACAAGCTATACATAAGTATTCCACAAAATTTAGATATATTTTTATTTTGTTAGAATTATTTTTAGCCGTATCCCTGCACCCGTGTACTAGGATCCGTATCACCAAATCTTAGAATTTACATCTCAAAGGATCCGACCTCTAGATCCGCACCCGTGTCCGAGCAACTTAGATGAATAGCTATTTTTAACTGGACATTTGATTCTACATTTGTGCCTCATAATTTTCTAGGGGAAAAAAAGAGTTGGACCTTGAAGCCATGCTTTTACATCACGAATTTCTAAGTGAATATTAAAGAAGTAATAATATGTATTTGATCACTGGCTTCCAGCAATATAATTGATGTTTCTAAGCAACATAATTGGTAGCATTTTATCAGTGACGTATATCTGTGCCCACAGAGAGTGGTAGCATTTTATGAGTCACGTGTATATGTTCATACGGAGGAGATTGGTGAAGATAGTCTGCGGCCTTTTTAGCCTTTTTTT